GGGGAGTGAGGGGCACTGGTCATCAACGTTTACAAGTGGGTCCTGGTACAAAAAAGGTTGAGAACCACTGCTCTACGTGACCAAGTGTTAAACACTTCACACAACATTGGTCTGTAGAGGATTTGGTGTTGCATAGGTAATGATCGCAGACCTGAGAAAAATTAGAGAAATTAAAGGAAGAGAGGTGTTGATGGGCTTTGAAGAGTGTCCAGTTTGATAATTCAAGTCTTAATCTTGTCCACTCCAGTTATTAGTACAAACATTTAATTTAATATAGGGAAATAATTCCTAGCTATGAGTTGAATAGAAGAAGCTTACGTTATCTGAAACTGGAGGACAGTCTCCTGTACATTGATACCACTCCATCAGCTAGGCATTTTAAATGTATTTTTCTTCCAATTTGTATGGAAGTATCAATCCAGGGCTCTAAGTTCTGTCAGAAAAACACAAAACTACTAAAACAGACCAACAGAATTGCCTTTACTCCTGCTGATCCAGCTCCCGGACTCTACCTCCTCAGAAACCTGGAAACAACGATGCAACTTGCAACATACTCTAAAGTTTGGAATAGTGATATCAGGGGGAGTGGGATTGTTTAGGAGCTGAGAATCTGACACGCAAGTCTCTAACCAACAGCTGCTTCTTTTAACTTGAAGATGATTAAGTTTAAGTGCTCCCCTCACCCCTCAGCCTCTGCTTTGAGAGAAAATTCCCAAGGAGGGAGGCAGCTCACACTGTAATGACAGACATGCCGAAGTTTTTATGTAGTGAGGATTTTATACATATGTGCCCCCCCCCCAGTCACTTTAACCATCATTGGAACCAAGGCTGATTGTAATGGAGCCCAATATATGGTCCATATAAACAATTCTATCCAACAGGCTTGAGGATGCAGGATATCAAGAGTAACTTGTCCAGCTAAAACTGTAATGGAAAGTGAAACATGCAATGACAGAAGCAAAATGTTGATCTAAAGAGCACCAGAATTAACAAGCAGACTGTATGAAATATGACATCAGCTCTTCCAATTCAAGGAGTATATTCCATGTATAAGAACTAACAGTGACAGATTACAGCTCAAAGTGATACTAAGAACATAGGTATGCAATTCTTTCTCTTTTCTAAATTTCCAATAAATTTATAAAAATAGGAAGTCACAAAAACTAAATTTGTCCAGAAATGTTGTAGTAAATATATACATCTATTTGGTTTCAACAGGAAGACAATTTAACAAACTCATTTTTGCCGGTGTGCCAGTGGGGGTAAAAATAAACAGCATGGCATGGAATGCACTGAGAAGGAATGATTTAACTTACCTTCTGTAGCCACAGGAGTAAGAGCTTTAGATGGTCCGTTGCCTCTACGGTCTGTGAACAGACAAAAATAATCAATTCTTAAAAGCAATTAAATGTTACATTTGTAATAGGATCTTTAATATAACTCACAGGAGTTGTATCACATAGCAAAAGTACCTTCATAGCCCACAGCAGAGGTCCAGTTTAATTTTTCCCTTTAAAAAATAAATTCTTTAACATTTTTGTAGTGACATTACCTTGGTGCTTGTAAATGCTATAGTTAATTTAAGCAAACATAGTTCAGAATTTACTTGAATAATTTTCTATAATTATTGATTTTGGGGTTGAAATGCTCACTGGATTTTGCTCAAATGAGAAAAACTACTTAAAAACTTTTCAGTCATTTTTTAGCTATATCTATATGAGATTCCACCACCCCCATGAAAAAACTGAAAAAACCTGCTGTGCTTTGAACCTCTGCATGTAAATCTTTTCAGTTAGAAGCACAGCTGTGACCAAATATGATCAATACTGGCTGTGAATTAAGGTTATTAACATCTTAAAAGCCACATACTAAAGATCTCCAGGTCATTAAGGGGAAAGCCATCAACCAGCATGAAGAGAAAAAACACACAAAGTGACAGAGATGGTTTAACAATACAAATGCATCTGAAGATGAGTTGACCGTGAGGGTCCCACTAATCACAGAGGGGGCAAAAAAGAGATGCCCCACACCTACTACAAAATGCTTGGATCCTGTTAACAGTCATGTTTCCCATTTTCACAATGCTACTTGATGAAAAGTTCCTTGATTGGGGTCTACCTACCCCAATGTTAGAGAGCAAAGAACCATTGCAGTATATATATAGTGCAGAGACGGCTCCTCTCAGCCAGCCATTTGGTTTTATAGTTGTCAGGGCTTTATTACATCTTTACTTCTATAGCAAAACCCCCAGTTTTGTTTTTGTTTTTATTACATCTGCTGCCCTTCCCCAACCATTTCTGACTTTCTGTCCCTCTCTATTCCCTATAGATAAGTATAAGTGAGCTCAAACTTAGGATAAGCTTTAAACATTTTTATTTTGGTAGCAAGTTTTTGGTTTTGGATATCTACTGTTTTATATTGTATTATTATTAGGTTTGTATTGATTTTTACTGTTGTATATGGATATTGTATGGTTTAGGCCCGTGTTTGTAAGTGAACCAAAGTCATGTCAAGTTTCCATTTTATATGTCAAGCCTCCATTTCTGTCCTCTTCCTGGGCATCCCATGTTGCAACAATATGATTCATGTACCCCTCCCATGTAAATTGGTTCCCGGATGAATGAGAATGATTGGGCATGATTGAAATACAATGGTAGCAGGCCTCTACTGAATGGCCTGTAATGACTGGGCCATCTCCTCGCATTGATTCATCCAGGAACCACAGAACTCACCCAGGAACAGAGACAAGACCAGTATTTGAAAAACAAAAGACCCTGCAGTACCAGCAACTCTGTCACTGTACCCCACCATTACAGACACCCAAAACTGCACATTCCTGCATAAAGCACACATGCTCAGTATGCCAGGGACTGACCCTTGCCTGGGCATCACACACGGTCTGCCCCTATAAAAAGGGGCAGTGAAG